AGCAAGACCACGAAAGCATAACAAATCATGAACATTCATGAACCGTACGCACAACGGAAGATGCGGCCAAGACGAACTTGGTTCCTTATGCTTCCTGTGCACCAATTACATGTTTCAGACACACTTGCCTCATGTTGCACAGATACACAGAAATTTACAGAAATCCTCCAGGTTCACAATATATATACGCGCACCTCTCGGACAAGTCGCCGACACGAAGGGCTCGGCAAAGCAGAGCCGCCTCGCTCTAAGAAGCTTCAGCCCCATCTTAGGGCCAATGCCTTGCGAACTCCTGCGAAGACCGCAGGGGTCTGGCCTGGAAGAACTCCCCCAACTTCGCCAAGGTGACTGACACCAAAGACGTGGGCCAAGGTATCACACGAGCATCCAAGGACAGATGAAGATGAAACTGAGGATAGCTGACACTAGCACCATCAAAAACAAAACCCAAAGCAACAGACAAAGAATCAAAGAGATACCTGAAAACCTTCACCTGTGATACCAAGGTACGTTGAAGGAGCCCACCAGCCCTCCTACTAAAAGGATCTTGCCACCGTAAGTTGTTTCGAGTACCAACCTGAACCGGCAAAACAACATCAAACTCACTCGAAAAAGCAACAAACACCTCGAGATACGAAACTGGGGCAAGATGCGTGGCCGCAGTATCTAGCCGTGAGAGCCAAGTAGCCAGTTTCAAGGCTATGGGAAGGCCAAAATCACGGAGTTTCACTGATTGGGAGATCAGGGAAGCTAAATCTAGGGGCAGCTCATCAAAAAAGGTCACCTGGGTTCTGAGAACACCAGTTAAACAAATTCAACGCCGAGTCATCATCATGCATACTCTCAGTAGTAGAAGTACTCATGGACCTTTGAGCCAGCGAAAGCAGAAAGGCTTGGTAGCGGAGCGCCCAGTGCCTGTGCCACTCATAGGTCCTAATCAGTCTCTCATGAACTTGACGCAAGCGAGCGCAGCCTGCCGTGCGTCTGGCAGTTTTGGCAGAAAGATCTGCAACACTGTTCCAGTGCGCCTGCCAGGCCGAATTGGCATCCGTCAGAAGCGTCTGGTCCAGGTGAGCTTCTGTTTTGTACAGCCGAACCGTGTTCTCGTGGACTAGCATTGCCTGCCAGAGCAACTCCCAAAGATCTGAGTTGGTGCAGTCAAAGGAAACATGTCGAGTGCGCAACAGAGCATCCCAGCCGCGTACAGCATAGCTAGAGTCAGTGAAGATGTCCACGTCACAGAAAAAGTGCTTGCTCCAAAGAACTGCCACGTAAACAGCAAAAAGTTCAGCTCTGTTGTTATGGTCTCAGTCCAGGAAGAAGTCCTGAGGCTAGAGTTTGCCCAATGCAGCCAAGGCACAACACGGTACCTTAGGATGTGAGCAGCTTCCGTCAGTGAAGACGCGCTGAGTCTCAGTTCCACAGGGACTGCTGTGCCACTCTGTGGGCTCCCATGGAATTTGCAGCAACAAAGAATGAAAATCATCAATCCAAGGATTTGCGCCCGCTAGTCCGTGGTGCGTGAGCGCTGAGGGAAGACAGTGCCAACAGGCAACACAGTCCTCAAAATCTCTTCGGGCGGTTTCGAAGTGCGGACAAGTTAGGGCTCGATGAGCCAACGTGTCCTCCTGTCCGCAAAAATCACACAAACAGGTCCTACTCGGATCAAATTTGGATTTGAAGGTGTTCAAAAACATGGTGCCATCCTGGGCGCACGAAAGCAAAGCCTGCTCAGCATGAGAAAGTTTGTTTCGGGCGCCAAAGGTTGCTGCATGATCAATGCCCTCAAGGTCACTGAAGTCCTTCCTGAGGCGCACCGAGCGCGCAATCACTTGAAACCACGCCTCAGTGACCAAATGCTTGAGAGTGGCACGGTCAAGGCTCAAAAAACGGCACCTGGCATCCGTCAGAGATGCGCAAGACCAAATCATGACTCAAGCTCCATCCCAAAGTGCTACTGAGTGCAAAAATCTTGGCAAAAGGACCATATGTGCCCTTAGATCCAGCATACTCAACAAATGTTACCCAGGCTTTCCTGATGAAAGTACTTTTGTGAAGCTGCCGCTGAAAAGAGCTCCAGGCGTTCCAGCATTCAACAAAACCCGGGTCCGTGTTCACCGGACATATCCAAGCTAGTCGGATCAATGGCGAGGCTCCTGGACGTGCAAAGCCGAGAGACCTCATGGTCCAGGTTCGCAATTTGGTGATCCAGTGATGTCCCAAAATGGCTGCATCAGCTCCAAAAAGTGCACGTGGAAAAAGAGCAACGTGTAAAATCTGAAGTTTGTGCCATATGGAAACATTGGATCTGCGCAGCTTCTCAAAAAAGACCTTAGTGGAAAGAATTCTCTGCTGCAGCGTTCGGTTACGATGGCGAGAGCCATAGCACATGCTGGCACCAAGATCCTTAGTCCCCTCAGTGATGGCAAAGCCAGCAAGCTGCAGAAGTCTACGATCAGCAGCTTGGGCGGCCCAAGCCAGTGTTTTGGATGGGTCCAAATGCAATGTCATCATCTCTGTCCAGGCTTGAAGCGTGAGGTG